TTCGGAAGGTAAGGGAAATTGGCGTTGCTGCTAATTGGTCAATCTCCATATCGGTGGTTAGAAGAAGATGCTAGCCGTCCTCGAGGGAAAGTTGCTAGTGGGAGGCGTTGCTCGTTGAAAAATAGGTCTCCCCTATTTTCCCGTAGTTGGGACAAAGACTGTTTGTCTGTTTGAAGGACTTTAGTTAGCTAAATCTTAAGATTTATGACGGGCCCTCGGGCTGGCTGAACATGTACTGCGGAGACGCATCGACATCTTATCGGCAATCATCTTACTCGAAGAATAGGGTCTGTGTGTGGCGAGCTACGGGACAGAGACCGTTGGAATGTTTACTGTCGAGGGTTACAACTATTTCCTTTTTAATGAGAGCACTGTCGAGTGTTACAACTATTTCCTTTTTAAGGAGAGCTATAGAATTACTCCATGTCTTTGTTAGACAAAGCGTTCATCGCGTAACCGCGACTACGTTCGGCGACAGACTGTCGCCTCGAGTCAAAGCTCACTATCGCTAATCTCGAACAATTACAATCGGATTGAATAACTACAATTGTTTAATTACAGCTATCGTAGACTCTAGATTACAATGTTGCGGGATTATCCAAAATTCCAAAGGCTCCGGTGTTCTTTGGATTGAATAACTACAATTGTTTAATTACAGCTATCGTAGACTCTAGATTACAATGTTGCGGGATTATCCAAAATTCCAGAGGCTCCGGTGTTCTTTCGTCTCCGACATATAAATTTGCATAAACACCCGTTTACTTGTAATCGTCGCGGCGAGCAACGTGAGCAACTCTAGATTTCCTGCTTTGAAATCTACCACAGGCAAATATACACGTTAGTCGACATTAAATGACTACGAACAAAATCAATATAACGCAATCTTTTTTCAATTCTGCATCAAGATTATAGCATATTTAACATCATCGTATAAACGTGAAATATGATGTGATGGAAAGGCGTGACCAGCGAGAGAATTAAGATTTCATAAGCTAATACTTATACTATGATACTATCATACTATATACTATAAAAACGGTGATGTATATGTCCACGTAGGCGCCACGCATACTTGCTTCTTTGGCCAACAATTACAGCGAATGTGTCATCAATTCTCCATATACCCTTAACGGATTGAAAGGGTGGAAAGAAGAAGAAGAAGAAGAAGAAGAAGAAGAAAAAAGAAAGGTAGAAGATAAGAAAAAATTGGAAAGGGAGCATCTTTTGGTGCGAACGAGCGAAAGTGGGGGACAGTGGAAAATGAAATCTCGTAGGCGAGCGTGAAGAAATCTGCGGAAGAGGCCGATGCTTTTGTTCGAGCTCTCGCATCTCTTTCCGTGGCATCGATGGAGAATAGGTATCGAGAATGAGATTGCGGAGGATGGAGGATCCTTTTGTGCGCGCAGCTGTGATTAATGGCGGCACAATAGCCGCGTGCCGTGGGATATAATCGTACGCGACACACGGAACGAGGATCGGTTTAACGCCGTTATTACCGCGACACGCTGAGCAATTCAAACAAAAAAAAAAAAAAAGAAAAAGAAAAGAGAGAGAGAAAAGAAAGGTAAAAAGGAGAAAGATCGATATTATCAAAGATATACCTAGCGTCTGACGTAATCTTTTCCTAATACTCGACAATCCTACGGGATCCTCCGTCTAACGCGTCTTATTTCGCTGGGCGATTGGCAAACTGTAAAATGCCAGATTCGCGCTGGGAAAGAGAGATTGGTCGCTGGCTTCGATTATTATAGGATTAGAGATGGAAATTCTTATCTGTAATCTGCACGAATGGCGAGAAATTCCTTTCTTTATATAATACGTTTTTAAAGGGGATACAGCTTTGCGAGGTGAAGAATTGATTCGTTTTACGAGCTTATTTAAATGTTTATAAGGGGAACATGGCGTAGGAATATAGAATGAAGCGTAGATTTTGCGAAAGCTTCGTTAGAAATTTGTTATCAGCACTGTTGGTACGGTAACTGTGTAAATTTCCAATAATTTTGGTTAATTAATTTACCGGTCGTATTCACTCGCGTATAACTTCGCCAATTTGTTTTAGATAACATATCATGCGTGTATGCTCTTTGTGATAAAAACAGATTAATAAAATCGGTTCATCGGATAACGTCTACAAGATAAATTTCTAAAAGAACTCCATTCATTCGTATGCTTAAAGCTATTGTAACTATGCATATCCCTTTTTAATAGTATTATAATGCACTCACACGTCTGTGACATATATGGACGTAGATTATTTTTAATCTAGGCCAGCAGTTCTTAACCTATGGTCCGCGGAATCATACAAAGTTCTCACACATATGCAAGTTACTATTTCGTTATTCGAATAAAAATGTTCAGTACGCATATATTTATTTCATCTGTCTATTTATATTCATACTTGTATTTACATTTATTTTATTTATTCTCTTCTTTCCAACAAGATCGCCAATAAGCGGTGGACGTATGTTTCAATTAAACATATTTGGCACATTGCCGATTTAAATTTTGAGCCAAGTCCCGGGAGGCCGCGACAACAAAATATCGTTTAAACGAGATCAAACAAAATGTTAAGAACCGCTGGTCCAGGTGATGATTTTATGATTTTCGCCTAAGCTACGATATTTCACGTTAAAATATACTAACATGTAATATCTGACATTTGCCTTCTATCATACGAGAGTTTAATCACGTTGATTAATATTCCAAGGAAAGTTCTACGTATCAAGAGTCTAATCTTTTAATCTCAAGCATCGACCCTCGATGATACGAGTAATTTAGATGCATTAGAATGACGTAAGAACGATTAAGATCGCGCTCTTGACGACAATGAAGAGCGAACCAAGACGATCATTATTCAGCATTTTAGAGACGAAACGGGAACGTTAATTGCAAGACAACGGTAGAAACAAGTTTACAAGTCGATTTCCCACTGGAAGATCGGGAAACGAGGAAGCAGATTAGAGGGAGGGACGGGGGTTCTGCTCGTTTCCGGGTTCGAGGAGCGGAAAATTAAGATGATTACCTATGAAATGAAGCGATGTCCGATATTAAGCTCTTGGAGGGAAGGAACTTTCCTTAATGATCGCGCAAAACGGTCATTAGCAATCGTTAATTACCCATCCGATTGTCCGCAGTTCGGTAGAAATATGCCCACGGTAACGAGATAAGATCTTCGATCGAACAGCGCTTAGACTGCAGATATCGACTCTCGCTACGTCCGACAGTTTCAGGAAATTAAATTCTTTTTCCTTTTTCAGTCGCGAAATTAATTTTGTTATTTTACATCATCCGTTCGAAGAAATTCCACGTACAACTCCGCGAATAACTGCTTCGACATGTAATACTATTCCTTTCACATAATTGAGAACGTTAAAGTTGGAAAATAAATTAATATCCATCCAATATGAATCCAAGAAAGGTCCCAACTTTTCGCTGCGTAATTATTTATAAGAAAAATTCTCACGCTTTATGAAACTTCCGTCTTCTCCAAGTAACATGATGCCCCTTTATTGCTCAGGAAGTCATAAACTGACGAAAGTTATTCAACCATTTCTATACGCGTGTACGTAGATTTTTATTTATCGAAGAAACTTAATGGACCGTGAAATCTTGCGTTTCGTAAGATTCTCGACACGCAGATCGCGACACGCTGCGATTAAGTTCGCTGCGCTTATTACATCGACCAATAAACGGTACTATGTGTAGAGCTCATACGGCGATCGAACGCGCGCAGCTTCCCTGTCGAACTTACATTTCGTCGTTCGCGTAAGAATTCACGGAAGTTGAATTTCCATCTGTCTGGAGATATTTTTATATCCGGAATTTTGTCGAGAAAAATCGTAGAACTGAATTTAAGGTACAAATAAAGGAACACGGTGTAACGTTAGAACCGTGTCGCTGGATGCAATTTTATTCCGCGATGCTTTCGACCGAGCACGGTGAAGCGGCCGCAGGAAGCGGAAGCGTCTATGCGACACTGTCCAGCCGGAAGCGATGGTTAACCGACCGTCAAGCCCTTGCCATTCTTCGCGTATGAAAAATGATGGGAGGCGTGTTGGTCGAGTGTCCGTAATAGCGTAACCCACGAAAAAGGGGTTCTTTCTCGTTACACCTCCGAAAATATTGTGAAAATTCATCGAATCGGAACGGTGGCAGAAAGGCGTGGCTCGTGGTGGATTTTTCGTCCATGGTAACCCGCAATTCACCGGTTACAGGCTCTTTTTACGTTCGACACACACGTGAACCTGATCACGGTAATTTGTTCTCCGGTGCACGCGCATCAACAGACTCCGATTAACCAAAGTACCTATGTAAAACAGCTCTGCCTCGCGTTCTTTTTCTCTTTTTTCTTTTTTTTTTTTTTCAATCACGAGACACGTGTATCGAATCGCTATACGTTTATCCATGCGGAAATAAAAATTTGTAATGATACGTTACAGTTAATATCGTCGGTTTGCTCCAAGAATGATGCTCGTTTGTTTGAGCTAGTTAGTTGGAACAATTGTCAATTATCGATTTGGAGGTGGAATTATTTTCTAGGTCTGTCGAGTCGTAAATAGCTAACGAAACGAGAAGACAATTCACGAAACTTCATTAGAAACGAATGTCCCATTGAGAATTCGAAGGGATTAAAAGACGAGGAGCTTACCTTGAGATAGGACCCGTAATACTTGGTGACGTATGGACTGTCACACTGTGACAGCACCATGATCTCCTGCTGTATATCTTCGATCTCATCCTCTGCCTCTTCGAGATCGATGATCTTGATGGCAACAACTTGCTGGGTCCTATTGTCGATGCCTTTGAACACCTCACCGAAACTACCCTTCCCAATTCGTTCTTGTTTCGTGAATATCAGCTCGGGGTCCACCTTCTGCAACAGAAATAACATTGTCTCGCTTAATTGGAGAATTCGCTAGAACGAGGGATTTAACAAAGTTTACCAGGCCGCGGCTTTTTAACAAATTTCGCGGAGGATCGGGACACCGTAATAGTGAAAGTTTCAACAGACTTTACGGACGTCTGACTTTGCGATTGCGGTACTTTTAGCAAATTTCGCAACGACTTGCGATCGCTAATACTTCGCGTTTTGGCAAGCTCCTCGAAATTGCGGGACGATGCGGCGGCGAAAGTTTTAACGAATTAAAAGAAATCGGCTAGAGCGCCGCGATATTCGCTGGCGAAGTAACGTTACTTTGATTCGAGCTTTACGCCTTTGAAGATCATACAAGCGAAATATAATAAGTTTATTTCTTACGACTTTACGATTTCCATGTTACTTGGCGAATAAACGGGAATGTTTTAATAAATTTGGAATAAAGATTTGGATTTTGTGTATCTTACATCTTTACGGAAACGGAGAGCGCAATTTCGAAACGCTTCGCAGCTCGAGGGAATTCTTTTGATCATCGTAGAGATGAAATTAAACCACCGACATGATTCTCTGATTGGCCTTCAACTTGGTCGATAGAATCTTGACAGTTGGATCTCGTTACAACGAATAATATCTTCGTAGAAGGTTTCTACGAGCGTCGAAATACTCTGGCGAGCTACAGTGGTCGAATAGCCTAGCCTTGTACTCATCATTCGTGTCATAACTACGTAATTAGAAAATTATACAGTGCATTAAAAGTCACGAAGAACCGAGCTACTCATATGCAAATGTACGACGTAACGATCTTTACATCACGCTGCATTATAGTATTAAAAAAAGACAAAACGCGAATATTTTAGAGGAAGTTGCCTATAAAATTTTTCACATTGTTTCACGTTACGAGGTGTTAAAATTCTACGACATGGAAGACGTCGAATCGCCTGGGGATAAAATTACGTCGAACATCGTTCCCTCGAGGATTAAAGATTCACAGAGAAGATCCACGTGCGACTTTCTTCAACTATACGTCCTTCGATTGCTAAAGAATGCGGTTACGTGTCGGTGAGAAATGCAGTTCTCCTTGGCTCCTTTCTAACTGATGACACGCCATGTCACAGTAGATAGCAGAGAAATGTGTATACCACATATCGATTGACTAAATACATAATCCGTTGATTCGATTTGACGCCACGTAATCTCCTATAGACATCCTGGTCGCTGAATTAGTATCGCATACGATCTTACTTTCTGCTATTCGACAGCGTAACGTGAGGATGAGAATCGATGAGCCATCCTTTCAATCTATGTGAAATGAATCATTCGTAGGTTTTTCTCTGTTACGAAACTGGTATTGCTATCATTGTGTTTGAAATGAGTACACGTACGACAGAAATCGAAGCATTTTTATAGTAAAGTATCTTTATATTACCAGCGATAGTAATATGGCTAATAATACGAGCCAGAGTAACTTTTATTCTCTCGGGTGCTTATCGAGTACCTAGGTACTGAACGGGTCGGTTAGTAACAGTGATAATAGTAGTAGTAGTAGAGTGATTCGCGATATTACGAAGAAACCTTGACACCTTGATGATCGATGTGATTTTTCTATAACACATCTACCGTATCATAGCTTACTTTTTATCATGTTATGTTACTGTTAATATATATCCTGCTTTTTTTTTCTTCTCCCGAATATTTTCGTAATAATTACATACTCAACGGATCGACTAGTAACACACGCAAACTCAGAGATTACAGAATGATTCACGATATCGCGAAGAAACACTGATCGGTGTTATTTTTCTGTCAATAAATCTACCACTTTACGGGAAGAAGGCTTGACACGCAAAATAATTAACGACCATCACAATATCACGAAGAAACGTTGACACGATGATCGATGTGATTTTTCTATAATATACCTGTCGTTTCGCGGATTACTTTTTACGTTATTTGACACATCCGGATATTTCTTTATTCTGCCGGATACTTTCAGAATAATCAGATACTCAACGAATCTGCTAATAACAGCACAAGCTTCAAAGATATATCGGACGATTCAGGATGAATGGTGTGGTTTTTCTGCCAATAATCCTATCGTTCCAACGGGAGAACCGTTCGCAGACAAAATAATTAACGAGCATCGCGATATAGGAAGAAAGTTACGGGCCGTTGGACGAGAAGGAGAACGTTAAAAGCGCGGGAATAAAATCGATATTCCGTAAATTCATCGAGGCGTTGAAACGTTCTCGAACGCTGGGCGATTGCGGCCGTGTACGAGAAAATTTGCAAAGCAGATTTTCTGCATTTTACCATGGGCGTCTGTCGCGGCTTTTCCTCCCTCGACGTTCACCCCGTACGTCCCTTTCTATCTTCAATCTGGCCTCTCCGACGCGAGCTTTTTATCTACGTGACTTTCCACGCGCGCGCCTTGCAAACATACCGCGGCGTGAGCGGATTCTGAAAAGGGGTAGAAAAATAGAGGAGCGCGTGCGTCTGTTTATCGCCGCTTTCATCTCGCGGCACGACGAAATTCTTCTCGTTCCATGGCTTTGAAAATAATCTACGCGTAACCATCTCTCGTCGTATTAATTTCGGCACACGCGATTCCGCGCCACAGGCCGCTTATCGTAAGAGAATTTTCCAGGGCTCGCTGATCCGACGTTTTTACTTAACGTCCTTCCTGCTGCGCCCTATCTCGTGACTTGCTTTTCCAATCACGTTTTCCGCGGACGAACGTCTCGCAACAAAATCAATTGCGTCGAAAACAGGGGCGAAAGTAGGAAGAGGAACTTCCTGGCGAACTTCGTAAGAAAAAGGAAGAACGAATAGGCTAGAAACGAGGAGCTTGGAGAAAAAAAAAAAGAAAAGAAAGAGAACAAATCGTTCCGACAAAGTTCGAGCGGCCTCGATTTCTTGCCCTCTTTCACCCGGGGTAAACCACTGTCGTTACGGCGATTAGAGCCGGCTGTTACTCGTGTTTCCCAGTGCCAAGAGGAAAGATGAAAAACAGCGGAATACAGGGGAGAAGGAAAGAAAATCGCGTGCAGGTCGGTACCATAGGCGACAAGAGCCAGGAACACGAGCGACAAAAAGAGGAAGAGAGAAAGAGAGGGAGAAGCTGCGCTTGTTCGTATGGCGTAGCTATGTAAAGGAGTCGAGAGGCGGGCGGTCACATCTTAGCCCTTTTTCCCGCCTGCTTGCCGAGCGTACTGCATGAAACTTACGACACAAATTATAATTAGCGAGTGTCAGCGGTACGGAGAGCCGGCACGTAGGTGGTTAAAGTACCGACAAGGGAAGCTGAAGAGCACCATCGTGCGCCAGGGAGAACTCTACCGTACCGGTTCTTCTTGGTTTTCTCGGGATCCTAGCTCGATGGCGCCGCATGATAACCGTATAATTAAAGGATAGACGGGGAACCGAGTTCTATCCGAGATTGGCTTACCAGGAGGATCCTCCTTGTTTTTAATTCAAAAAACAGAGGGAAAAGGTGACGAGCACGATATTCTTATTTTTTCTGATTTTGATGTTGCAACGTGTTTAAAAGGGTGTAGTTTGATGTAATACAGAGGGGAGGAAAGAGGAATAATTTACTCGATCCCTGTATTCTTCATTTTTGATGCGAATATCTTTGCAGAGAAGTTGAAAAGTGAATTTAATAAAAAATCAAAATTATCGGACTTTGAACTTGTCCTCGTTCGAAAGACAAAACACGTTACCCGTCGTGTCTTTCCCACAGAATGTTCAAATAACCAGCATGAACAAAAATTCTACGATTTGTTGAAGCAGTTCCATTTACTTTTGCCTATGATATCGTTAAAACGCGGATGCGTTGTCAGAATCTCGAGTTGCGAATAAGAATAAGAGCGATTGTCCGAAGGCACGAGAAAGAATATTAAAGTTAATTTGCATTAGCTCGGGAAAATTAATTCTGCTGTTCGAAATATCGTGTAATAGTTCATTCGTTGATAGTTTTGCTCTAGTAACAAAAATATTGAACTGACTGATGATCGCTGAATCATGTATACATAATAATGTACTAAATATCGCATCGTCGTGAGTTGAAGGAAATTGTAAGAAAATTAATCTACGCTACAAATAGCCGAAGCTTGTGAGAATCTTGCGAACGAGACGCGTCACAGACGGTGAATTATAGCGGCGCGTGGTCAGACAATTAGCGAGAAGTTGGCACGCGGACGTTGACGTCCGTTGTACCCAAGTTGGAACTGATTCTGTGTTACGCTCTGGTCTCCGCGAGACTAACAGGAATTCTGATGGGCAAGTTACCCGCCTCGAAACAGAATTATCCGGCAACCTCGTGTTAAAAGGGTCGTGTGTTACGCTTCGCATCGCTGCCAGCCCAGTTATGCTTGCTCGATGTTATATAATTGACAGAGCGATACCGCCGCCCAGCAATCAATGTTTCCAAAGCGCTCATTGTATAAAATCACTACCATGTACGGTGACCTACAATGCTTCGACTAAAAGTTTATTTTCTGTACGAAGTCGATGATGGAATTAGTATTAGACTATATACTGTCGACGACCATGGTTTTTCAGGTATACCGATTATCAGATATTTTTGACAGTCGTATTCCCAAGAATAGATAGAAAAAATAATTATTCATCATAAATATTCATCGGGCAAAATGAAAATATCGTACAAAATGCACGAACGACAGCCTGGACGTGGTTGTTTTATACACGCAGAACGTTTCATTAAGAAATTTTCTTACACCAGTGAATAGTATCGTAGCATTTAGGTCAAGTAAGAATCTAGAAGAGTCACAGTTTGGCAGGCACTACTTTTTAAACACGGAATGTTCTACTAAAAAATGTATTTATAAAAGCGAGAAATTTAACAGTATTTAGGTTAAATAAGATAACGAAGTCAATTAAGGAGAAAAGAGCTACGAATAGTAAGATGGCACGTGGCTCGATTGGTGTCGCGTCGACGTCGGGTCTGAAAGCTAAATCGAGTCAAAACAAGCATATCT